GAATGTGTTTGAAAATATTTATAATCCCACTTTTTATGTCATACCCCATATGAGTGTGGCCTTTCTAAAGAGATAGATCCTGTGTTTGATGGGCAGGAAAGAGGTGCCATTCCTCAGTAGCCAGTGGAGAATGTTTAAGTCACAGTGTAGCTGATATAAAAAATGGCTCATCTTGCCTTAAATTTTCTTTTTGGTTATACAAACCATTTTTCCAACATTTGCATGTGCTTAAGCCTTTCCCCCTTCCTTTATCGCATTCCCCCCTCCATGATCTTTATGCCATTTTATCACTCCTCTATCCAAAATCAGTCACTGTGCTCCACCTCTCCTGCCCTTGACTGCTTTCTTGAGTCTCCTTGACTCACAATCAGTCCCGTTGTCCCCTGTGACTGGCAAAAAGCCGAGCTAGCCCATGGCCAGACACCTGTTAATCATTTATTTAAGGGCTGTAATGTCACGTTCAACTTCAGTCTCCCACCTAATGCCCACTGAGTTGAGGAGGAGGGAACCGAGGAAGTGAACAACCCTCCAAGGATCCCGTCACCTCTTCCCATCCAGTGCTTTTACATGGTTTAAATAAATGTAGAATGCTGCTGCTTTAATGTTGTGCTCCTGCTTGAATTGCGCCTCCTCTGGGTTTGCACAATGAGCCTACAAAGACCCTCAATGTCACAGGGATGTAGCTAATTAATGGGGAGCCCAGTAATTGAATATGGAGAGTTTACCCAGAGTATCCTTAACCAAAGCAACATAAATCCTTCAATTACCGTAGCGATGCATTCAGTTCACAGGATGAGGTGGTAGATGGTATGAATTTTACAAGATGGGTTTTAGCAATGTTTTGGGGAAAACTGACAACCAATTTTTAAGTTAAAATTTCACAAGTGTCAATCAATCTGGACAATTCAAGTCCTGGTTTTCATACTTGTCAAACTTTTGGGTGTCCAAATGCCAAACAGAACACCGAATGAAAGCCTTATCTTCCGTGTTTTCTAAAAGAGTTTTCATATATCAGATTTTGTTGGAAAGTATCAACCAAAGATGATCTGGATTCCATAAAAAAAAAACCAAAATAACAACAACAAAAAAAACTCTGAGCCATGATTGAAAACAATTAAACGGGTGTCAGTTTTAGGGTTTCTAGCGACTAGCAGTTAGCTGGTTGCAGTATTGTCACAATGTTTACAAGTGACAATGTCAACACTGTTTATTGATTTTTAGTAGACAAATGAATTTAAGTTAGTGGACGCTTTATTTTGTTAGACAGTGTTCTTGTTTTTTATTAGCTGACTTATCAACACAACTGGACTACTCAAAAACTACTTTCTTACTTAAAAATAAAGACTCTCTAACCTTAACCTATTTACATTAAAGTTCCTTGAAATATTATGACCAGCATTAGGTTATGTTCAGAGTAAATATTGGCTAATTACTAGTATTTATAGACTTGTGCTGCTCGTGGTGGCAGCATGTTGGAGTAGCCCAACTGCATTTTCTTAGTTTATGCTTTTATGAAAAATTATTCCATATGGTTTTGAATGCTGTGCAGCCGGACATATTTTTGCTCTTACAGATGTTATAATGTGCAACCGTAACAACAAAGTGTTGTTTTCACAACTAGAAGCAGCTGATTAACATATAAAAAGTTCAAATTTTACCCAAATCCTAGAGTGTTTTAAAAAGGAAACATTATGGATCTCTTCAAATGGCCAATAATCATATTCCTGACTCCTGAGAAGTGACAAAAGCAAAAGAGGTGGATTATCAGTGCTTGCAAACAATCACCCAGTACATTCAGCTTCTCTGTTGAGTTGACATGACGTTTGACTCTGACCATTGAAGTGCTGTAATTCTTTTCTGTATTACGGTAGAAGCACATTTTCAAGGAGAGATTGTTGCTGCCTGGATGCCAGTGAATCCCAGTAGGTCCAGATAATCAGAATATATTCCTGACCTTTTGGTGCCTAAAGCGAGCTTTATCCAGTTAACTCGTGTTTCTTTCACTGCACTCTCTATTTTGCAATTTGTGACTCCTCAAATAAGGCTGTTTTTGTTTCCAGCATGCGGTCAGGAGGGTAATTCACATTTAGAATGGAGCATTACAGGCATGCTGATTGCAGGGAACTAATCAGCTCTGACCTTTTCTCTCTCTGTAGGTCTCTCCCTATAGAACGAGGCTGTTTAGCCTCAGGTCAGGTGTTTAAAAAAAAAAACAACTTTTCGTCAGCTGGCTATTGACTGTTTAAATAAACGTGTCTCTTTCAGTAGAGCAGATAGCCTAGTTTGTCATTAGTTCCATTATTGGTTCTAATGACTAAAAAAACTCTCATTGGAACCTTTTTTTCCACATCTAATGGCTAAACTGACTTCTAATTGACTCTGAGTTACTGGATAAAGTGGAGCAGGTGCACAGTGTCCATTTTCATGCCCTTTATGAGGTGATATTTATCCCTAAATGTCAGCTCTGGTCTTTTTCCCATCTGGGGCAAAGAAGCAAGAGGGCCAAGGGATTAGGCAGAGAGATCCTCAGCCTAAAACGAGCAAACGTTTGACTGACCAGGAAAGACTGGAGATCAATGAGGACTTTTTGGGGGCTTTGAAGTTGGAAAAAAAAGCTGCCCAATCAATGAAGAGCTGTTCACTTATTAGTGTCTTCAAAGATGTGAAGAAAACAGGCATTCTCTCTCGACAAGCTGTCACCTGAAGAGTTTCGACAAAACGCAGGGGAGGAACAATTGTGAAACTTTCTCCTTGATCTCACCTCGTCCGTCACATCAGGTTTTTGTAGCTGATTGAAAAAGACTCATTGGATTAGATTTGTGTCTTAATTGCTTCAGAGGACTTGTAAAATGAGGAAAATTTCAGATGAGATTTCTGGTTGTTAACTGAGTTGTAGTTCATTTGTCTGTAAAGTTTGGTATGTTTGGAAAGGTGTGTGTGTGTGTGTGTGTGTGTGTGTGTGCAATCGAAAAAGCGAACTCTGGTCCGCCTAAACGCCAAGGTCTCAGTTCAGTTGAACTGTGGCAGAGTTTGGTTTCATATGTGGATGCAAGCGGACCGGAAACCGCCCCAAAAGAAGGAAACGGTGACACCAGAATGCAAGGCGCTTTCTATCAAAATAAAACCAAAACAAACATGAGAGTCTAGCACTATTGGGAGAATTGGCTTGTGGTCTTTTACCAAAGACCAAAAGAGAAATCCTACAACTGTTAAAATCTGACGCCACTCCATTTTTATTTACATTTTGTGAAGAAGGAAGTTTTGCTCAGTGTCGTCTTCTGATGTTTTGTGTCACTTCTTTCACTGGTTCTTGGTGCCAAGCCACCACAGGCAAGGAGGGGAACATGTTTCTCAAAGGGTTTGGTTCGTTTGGCAGTGAGTGCAGTGTGAAAGCGAACGGCAGCAGCTGGAAATGTAACAAATGTTGCAACTTTAGTCCCCAATCGAACAGAGTCTCCAGGACCGTCAGGTGTGAAAGCACCCTGAAATTAGTGAGTTGGGCACATTACATCAATGTGACAGGCATCTTTAAAAAGCAATTCCTTTAAGTCAGCTTTTAGCAGAACGGTCGACAAGTTCACAAACTCCCTGTTTCCTCTCTTACCAGGTCATCAGAAAAAGTTCCCACTCACTCCCCTACTCTGCCTCTCTCCACCTTCAGCCTCTCCGCCTTCCCCGTTACTCGTGATTTCCTCTTGCTCTCTTGGCTCCGTGCTGTTTTGGTTATCTGTGATTGCCTCAAATGCCTTCCTTCCCCTCTCCATCATGAAAGCTGTAATTTTGTCCCACTCTTGTGCACCAGCAGTCCACGCCAGGGCGTTGCACATCCAAACACTGGCTTCCTATTGTTTCTTTTTTTTTTTTTTTATATCAGCTGGAAATGCAGCAGGAAGCATATCTATCTCGAGGCTTTTTTTTTTTATCAGGTCAGGTGGAAAATGTAGAACTCAATACTCACTTTCATCCGTCGCCTGTAGACAGTTTTTTCAAATCCATGACCTCCCAGTAAAATGTGGATCAAAAATAGTCCTTCCAACTTTCACAGAGTTTCAGTGATTGGTGGGTTGGGAGGTGTTTGCTACTCGCTGTGTCTGCGTTACAGAGAATGCTGTTTCCCTTGTCCTTTTTTTTGCGCTTGGATTCTAGATGAACACTTGCACATGTTTGTTAGGTCAACAGATGTATGTAACTTGAGTCTTGTGCGGAATTAGAAATCCAGGTGCTCAGTTTGATTGCAGAAAACTTTGACTAAAGCCATTTTGGTTATTTTGTTGAATTCATCCAACTAGAGGTGGAACATTTTGTGGACTTTTAGTGGTTTTGAGAAAATCTGTAAGGGTTTCTCAAACCGTCTGAGAGTTTGCTTGAAATTTCCTGGAAATTTCTTTTGGGAAAATTCTCGAGCTGTAGAGTTCAATTTCAGCTAAAGTCCCAATTTCCTTACAATCAATAGAACATATTATTACACCTGAACTCAGTACCAATGTATATCTGAAATGTTGTCTTGCTGGGAGTTGATATTGTCCATAAGAATGCAGGGATGCAAATCATCTAGTATCAGCTAAAAATGTAAAGTCGTTGCTTTAGTTGCTTTTCATTTTATGCAAAAGTTATTTTTTCTATTTCTTCGTCACGATCACGTGTCATTTATCTCACAGTTTCAGTGTAATCAAACCTTTTTATTTCTTTCATATTAATTTCCACATTCTTCCACACTTCCTATCTACCTAAAGCAAACGTGTTGCATTTCCAATCACGAGAGGCGTTATGTTTAATTCGCTTCACTTTCAGCCGACTTAAGCACGACGCGCCTCTCCTCTGCTGCATCTTAATGCGGTTTGTTGCTATGGCAGCACAGATGCAGGTTTATCTTGCTGTATGTCTAGCAGATGATTACCTAGAAGTTGTTTTCCCGCCATGCTGTGCAACAGCGATTAGGAAAATCTGCTTGTTGAGCCCTGATTGCTTTGATTCATCCCTCCCTCCTCCTCTTTGTCCAGGAGCAGAGCCCCAGTAACGCCACATCCCTGGCTATGATGCAGGAGCCGCAGGAGGTGGTGGAGGAGACGGTCACCATAGAGGAGGACCCCGGCACCCCCACGTCTCACGTTTCGGTGGTCACCTCCGACGACGGAACCACGCGGCGCACAGAGACCAAGGTAATGCGGTAACTCTGTTTCACCTTGACAGAAATTAGATATAGATGAGGCGATTGAATAGTGTTTTGTGTATATTATATATATATAATATACTTTCAACCTGAAACTGCACAAAATCTTACCAAATATTTTTGGTCTAGTTTCTAGTTGTAAATATCTTAGTAAGTTAAAGTTATAAGATAAAACTATCTTAGAAGTAACTTTTCAGCCAGACATTGGAGCTCGTCAATAATTCCTTAATACTGATGAAAAACTACTTGTTCCTCATGTAGATTATTTCACTAATAACAAGCTGGCCTGTTGCAATAAGCAATAAATCAATTAAATTAAAGTTGAGTTCAATAATTTCCATCTGCATAATTTATTGTTTTTCCTCTTTTCTCTTTCTACTAAAACCTGGATGATAAAAGTCTTGAGCCTGGTGATTTGGTCTCAGTTAGCTCTTATTTTGGAGGACAGTTTTGTTTACGTAGACTTCATCATTCATTTTATTTGTTTATTTATTTTGGATATTTAAAATGCCTCCCAGAGCCAGTGTTAAATATTCCTAAGCATCTAAAGTTTATTGACCTTTGAGAATGTGTTCTGGCATTATGATGTCATTACCATATGTTGCTTGAAAATGATGTCAGAGCAACAATATTATTGTTTATCGCAATAACGTCTGCGACAATTTATTGTCCAGAAACATTTGTTATCGTGATAGTCTTAAAAACAACACATTTTCCCCATGTTATAAGAAATAATTTGCTAATGGAATAATAACTTTTTTCTTTTGTCAATATTAAGGAATTATTTAATTAAAACGATCCTGTATCTTGGTGAAAAGTTGCTTGTTTTATCTTATTTCAAGTGTTCTAGGATATTTGCACTAGAAAGTCGACCAAAATTGCTTGGTAAGATTTTGTAGTTTTGCAGTGTGGCACGAAAAGAAGTGCAGCTGCCTCCCTCCCTTCTCCGCTTAGTGTGACGCCTAATAGCATTTGCGGCCGTCGATGTCGCCTATGGATCCAGATGAATTCAGAGTGTCAAAATGAATGCCATCCAGCAGCATACTCTGCTCGCAATCCCAGATTTCCATTATTAGGGATTCTAAATCCCGTAATCCTGCTCCCGAAAGCGGGGCCCTCCCCCCGTGCTCGCAGCTTTATTTCTGTTTATTTCTCCTTCTTATCATCAGTCAGTTTTTGGATCATTCTCCCAGTTGTGTGCTTCTCAGAAACCCCCTTTGTTGACTTTCCCTCTACTGTGTTTTGTTGTTCTCCTGAAAGGACATGTCAACCAATGTGAAGGTGAGTGTGGCTTTACGTATTGCTGCGGCTTCCGTCACCATGCCACCGATGTTTGCCCCATACACTGTACGGCAGCCGTGCACAGCACAGTCTGTGGCTTTTCAAGCTAACACAATTGACCATGTTTTAAATCGCAGCTTGCCGCTTCCACCTCTCGAGATAATCTATCCCCAGTAATACTGTCTTCTCCATGTTTTGCTCTGCTTAGCCTAAAACGCCTTTAGGGCGGCAATGCAGCATAATTTATTAATAACGATTGTAACGTTAAATCCAGACAATTAATTGAAATTCAATTAGATATATATGTGTTTTAGCGTTCCAATGATGTATTGGAGAATGCCTAAAATGCACAAGCGTTGAAAACAAGTTCAAGTTGTCATCCATAATCTGTAACCACATGCTGACTAATGTGTTAACAGGCTGCACACCACTTCTACAAGTGTTAACAAATTATACCCTCATTAACTGAATGTGTTCCTGTTTTAAATGTGTTGTGAAATGTAGCACACGAGCTTCTTCATGCATCGGAAAGGTTCATCCTCATAATATTTGTCTGTTTCCAGGTGTATTGACTTCAGATAAAATGTCTTTTTTTTTCTTTTGGAAAAGTCACACTTTATGGGGCTTAAACTTCTGCAATAGTCACTGCAGACACAGAATGGAGAATTTCTGTCAAGTTTTGTTTTAGAAAAATAAAATCAGCTGAGGATTCTGTGCCTGTCATTTTGTGGAATCTCAGACTGAAGAGAAATTCTTTCAGTTTCGAGTAGAAAGTTATTCTCCTGTCGTTTTGGTGAACTGGTTCAGAGTTTATCAGGGAAAGAAAAGTTATGGTTATCCTCTACTCATTCTGAAGGGGCGGGGTGCTCCCTGTCCTTTTCATTGGTTTTAAGTGACATCAGACTTCTCCATGATATTTTACGTGCATCAAATACTGCCACTATAAAACTGTCCTTTAAATGACTGTCTAAGGAATCAACAGTCCTGATTGCATAATAAGAAGGAAGACATCATTTTAGGAGCTGTAGACTGATGCTTGTCCCTGTTAGCCTGGTCACTGTTAATGACAACAACAAGCTGTTAGCATTGTGCATCAAAAATCCTGCGTAAAGGAATCTTGAGGTAAGAAAGTCCTTGTTCTGCTGTCTTTAACACACTGCCTGTCTTCCCTTAGTGTTCAGAGTGTTTCCTACTGAGTGACTTGTTAATGTCAAACATTTTACTTTTAATCATAATTTTCTGAAGTTGTACCCATACATCAGGCTCATAAGAAAAGAACGTCGATGATTTTTGTTTCACAGGAATGTGATGGGAGGTTTCAGCAGGATTCTTGGAGAAACTGAAGACTTGACTTTTACAGATTGATTGAAAGAGTCTATAAACATACTTAGAGGGTTTTTTCCACAAATAATCTCTGTTAGACAATTTTTGTGAAAAAGCATTCAGAAAATCTCCCTATTTGTGTTTCCACTAACTAAAAAAGGGACTAATAGATCCGAACAGTGTTTAAAGAATAACTGTTTGGTGTTTTATTGTCCCGTCTTGGTTTGATTATTTCAGATTTTAAACTTTAGCAGTATGCAACGTTTTAGTTTAGTTTAGGGATAGGAAGCTCTGAAACAGATGCTATGCTTAGCATCAGTATGCTAACTGTTAGCTGCAGATGTTGTTCTCACAGTTCTTACAAATCATTCATATTTTCTGACCCTCTGCCATTATTTTATTTCTACAGTGTACTCAAAATACTGCAGTACAAACAACTTAAAAGTGCTGATGGCTTCTTTATATATATATTTTTAATTATTTGCCAGGGCAATGTTTATTAATCTTAATTAGAACTACTTCCTTTCTTGTTTCAGAATATGAGTTTGAAACCTAGATTCAGGGTGTGAAGCTTTTCATTATCCACTTTTTTATACAACAAAAGAGATATCCTTTTTTATTCAAGCTGCTTGTTTGCCAAGAGGGGAGAGTTCTGCTGTTTTAAGTCCACACACCCTGGAAAAGAAGAAATGTCTCATTTTGAAGTGAATTTACCGTATTTACACAACTTGCTACCTTTGAGGATTCTCACTCAAGGATCTCGCACAAGGTTGGTCGAAAAGGAAACTCACATTTGGTATTTGTCTCTTCTCTACGGCATAAAAGCTGTGCTAAACCCTGGCAGTCGGCTGTATTCACAGAACATTCCTGGCAGTGACTCGTTACCAAATAACAAAAAATACATTTTAAGTTGTCGAGACCGCTCAAAGACTCTGTGCCAGATGCCCTCTTTAGATGAGTCTGGACTTTTTCCACATTTTCAGACATACCTCCATAGATTAGAAATTTGCTGTGCAGCGTTTTGGATGCAGATGGCAACATCGCTGCAGTAAGTCATTCCCCGTAGACCATCAGATGAGTGGAGAGCACAGTGTGGAGCTTCTAGTCCAGGGACTGTGAAGCTGTAATTAAAAAGCCAGCTCTAATCCCTCATAAGGGAGGACCCGTTGCCCTCCAGCCTGTTTACTGCGAGGGGATTGGCCACATTTACACTCTTTCTCACACTCACATGTTTTATGCACTGGATGGAGGGTGAAGTGGGGGGGGGAGGGGATAACTTGTTAGGAATAATGCACACCAGTGCGTGCAGCAAAACATCATACTAATCAAAGGCTTTGCTGAAAACCAAGGGGAAGGAAGGACACAACTTTAAAGGCTCTGGCAACCTACTGAATGGAGTAGTTGTGTGTTTTCTTGAAATTACTTTGCAGAGTAAAGCAGATTAATGTCGAGGGTGAACTTCGAATGCATCCCAACTCTTAATGTGCCATCCGCTCTCATCGTCTCTTCCGCGTGTTTTGTTTTTTAACCTCTTTTCTCTTCCACCTCTCCAATCATTTGTCAGCAGCTCACAGATGTATTTCTGTGCATGTCTGTTTCCTTGGAACTGAACGTCTAACCATGCTGTGTAATTCCAACACGATGTTCCTTGATGGTTATCCCACGTCTAACTGCTGGAAGATGAAACGCAGAAGCTTCTCTCGTCGTCTTGATCTGCCAGCAGAAAAGTTGCTTCTGTGGTAACCATGTGTTTTTGCGATAAACTATCAGCAAAAATCTTTAAGCAGAATAATGTGAAGTGAACTGAAAAGCAGACGCTGCTGTAAATAGATTACGGGGTGCGTTCAGCAGTCAATTCAGAGTAAGTCGTAGCTGACAAGTACAGATGTTGCAATTTTTTTTAACAAATGGCGTACAAAACAAAAAACAAGATATTGTTTGTCTGCCATCAAGCAAACTCCCCCACAAAGATCGCAAAGATCGTTTAAAAAGTTTGAAGTCAGTGTGAGAAGCCTCTGACGTTCAGAGCTACATCCAGGAAGTAGACACTGGACAGAAGGTAGAGACCTCCAAAGGCCTTTTCAGTTCCTCTCACTATCCTCTGCAGGACCATAAACTATATGGTGGCAGAGATTCATCGGCAGAGTTTGAACCAACACCACCAAAAATTCTCAGTCAAGATACTTGATGATATTTTCTCCAGGTTTGCGGTCCATGTACAATATTTAACCGGTTCTCTCCAGATTTGTAAATGTAAACTATACAAAGGGAAACCACTGCATTCATGGGTCTTAGCAACCACAAGCAGCAAAGATAGCTGAAATCCACAAATACTTGAGTTCCCCCTCTAGAAATGCTTATAATAGTTCACACACCAAATACAGTATACCTTAATATGGATTAAAATGAACAGTGGAAACTGTCTTGGCTACTGCTGCTGAAGCTTGCGACCTTTGGTCTTTCTTATTCCTGCATTTGGGGGATCCAGGGTGTCATCGCCAAGGTAAACCAATAACACTCCTGGATTGGTTGCTTTGCAAACACCAGCCAATAGTGTGTCAAGCATCATTGTGCCTAGGTATTTTAACTTCCCAGGCTGCATTTTCTTTAAAATATCTTATCTATGCTGTACGAAAAAAATCAACAAATAGGATTTTTCACAAATAATTATGGCGTTCCGATCCGTAGGAAAAAAAAAAAAACAAATAGGTGAATCCACAAAGACTGAACTGCGAATAGGTGGGGGTTCGTTGTACAACTTTACCAATTAATGTACAGTGGGTTGGCTTTTAAGTCAGGGTACGGTTAATGTTATAGTTCGGTTTAGATGTTAGTGCTTGATGACGGAAAATTTCTGGAACTATGGAATTTTTTGACTAAAAATACCTGAGAATGTAACCTGATATTTTCTCCCTACAGTCCCCTCCTGACTGCCATATATCATCTTGAGTACCATGATGAGATGCAATACGTCAACACACTCTGACCCACAGCTTTGAAGGATGTTGGGAGGATTCTGGCATGGAGTGATGCTGGTGGCAATTTCCGTTTTATGACAACACTTGTTTTTTTCTTTTTTTTTTATCAAAGGAGGCCATCATAAATCTGGACTTGGAGGAACTCACACTTATCCACCCTCTCTGCTACATGGGTGGTGATGCTGAGAGTCGCTGCTTCGGATCTTGACCTCTGGGAGTTAATAATCATCCCTTCCCTCTTGTCCAATCTCTCAACGCTGGTTGATTCATTTCCGCTGCACTGATGTACCATTCCCGTTAAACCAATCCCACTACTGTGGTATCATCTGCAAATTTAATGATCAAGTTTTCCTCATGCGGGGATGCACAGTCTAAAATTGTTAAAGCAGATTAACTACAGATTCTCCCTACGTTCTCAGCTCATTCAGCTTACGGTCAATTGACCCGCGATGTGTAGTAGAGTCTATGGGCGCATGTAAACAGTCAATTATATCCACTTTCATCCTGCTGCCCCAGTGTGAAATACTTTCCCTTGGCCAGCGTCCAGACACTCTTTCCTGCTGGCAGAGAGTCTCTATGAAGCAGACATTTTCGACTTGGACCAATAAAAGCTGCATTCCTTCTCCTCTCCTCTGGATATGAGCTAATGAGAGTTGCGGTATACCACCTAAACAAATAAAATCATTTTACTGCCCCCGAACGGGCTTGCTAGCCGACACTTGAGCAGGTAAAGTGGGGGCGAGTTAAAACGTTCAGCCCAAAATAGTAAATGATCATAATCGGCTTTTAAAGTCAGAACTGTTTATTCTTTCAACAAAGCAACGAGCGGTTTCTGTTCGAGTCTTCGTAAGAAGCTCTCTAGCCTGCGTGAAAATCAGTGGCAGGCTTCATCACAGCTTGCATAGCAACATGATTTACTGCCTCCTCCTGTCTCGGCTACCCAGCCACCATGCACATGGATTCTCCCGTTAAAAAACGGTAATAAAACATCTTACATTGCTTTAAATGGATGTTCTCTGTCTTTACGCCATTTTTAACAGCCTGGCAAACTAGTAAGGACCGTGTCTAACTGCCTGCGATTGTTTCAAACTTTTTTCCCTACTGATGTGAATTTTTTATAGATTTTTTGTATTCTAAACCATATAATGTCAGTAGAGTTGCTACATTTGTGGATAATCCCTCCCACTACCAATTCAGCAATTCCCTTTGAGGTGTTTACCCCACTCCAGCAGAACTCAGTCATTCCTCTGAAACCCAGGTCCCTCGTCTCCCCTTTGCGTGATGGTTTAACATCTTGTGAACTTGGGCGTACATCAAAGGGTGTTTGAAAATGGGTGATGGATCCGCTCGCAGCCCTTGCAGATTGCCTAAAAAGCTGTAATAGTACATGCCAGCTGGGCATGTCGAGGCAGGGAAGCTGTAGCATCAAACCCTCCACTCTGCCTCTAACAGCCATAATAAAATAGAATAAACGATGACTTCTTCTTAGGTTAATGTAAACATAAACAGACTGCATTTATTGCTTTGGTGAATGGACAGTCGCCATTAAAAAGATTGATCTCCTTTAGTTTGAGTTTTTCTGTATTGGATCACAATGACATGATCTGGTCTTAGAAACATTTAGGTCTAATCAAAGTGTGTACAAATTCACAACAATCTGAGATAAAGTGAAAATAGAGACGCTGTATGTAGTTTGAAAAAAGACACCTTTGCAACAACCTCAATTAAATGAATGTATTTATATTAATTAATTTGGAGTTTTGGGAGTTTGTTGCTCTGGAAAATGCAGGACATGTAGGAGTGGACATTATTGGTCATATCGCTCATCATTTATCGCAATACATTCTTATTGTGATGAAAATCTTAATTTATCGTTGTCAAGATAAATTCCAGTTAATGTTTTAAAAAAACTTTTACTGTCCATAATATTGGGATTAATTTTACTATTTTCTTCAGTTCAATGAGAGTATCAATTAGACCTGTCTCAAAAACAAATTTTGCTGGATGATAAATTGGTCCTGAAGTTATTGTGATAAACGATATTATTTTGAGACAATTTTCATAACAATGCGAGAGCAGTTTTTCAAAAATCAATAAACTTTAAATTCTAATGAATATTTAACACTGTGGCTGGAAGACTTTTTAAATATCCAAAATAAATAAACAAGACATCAAAAACAACAAATAAAATTAATTATGAAGTCTCTGTAAACAAAATTGTGCTTCATAAAAAAAAATAGAGGGCTAGTGAAAAGTGAAGCACCAGCCTGAAGACTTTTTTCATCCAGTTTTTGGTAGAAAGAGATAAAAGAAAAACAATAAATCATACAAATGGAAATTATTTAACTCGTTTTAATTTATCCTGCAATTAGTTGATGTATTGCTTATTGCGACAGGCCTGCTATCAATAAATCTATACATTTTAAAATGTGATTAAATGCAGTGAATGTCCAGCTTAGTCATACACATCACTTCTTACGAATGGGAATGTTTTTCAAGAGCAATATTTGTGGGGCTGTGATTTTTGTGTCATAAAGTCAGAGCTATGAACTTAACTAAAAAGAAATAATGAATAGTTATTGTCACTTTTATTGTTCCTACAATTGCACCATAAAGTGTTGCAATAAAACTTTAAGTCCATATCGCCCATCACAATTGGTGCAGCCATGTGTTTAAATGGTGTCAATAAGTAAAGCAATCTGCAATAATCTTTGAGAACTAGTTATTTCTCCACATCAATCTCAAGTGAGAGATATTTTCTCTTTTTCATTATTGAGGCATTTAACAAATAGTTCATTTTGGTGATTCTAATTTGCCTGTATGTTTATGGTGTACGTTTTTATTCAGTGTGTAAAAATCACTTGTTTCAGCTGTACTTACTGTTAGAGTTCAGGAAGGATGCCTTAAAAGCCAAAGTTAGTTGGTGAATTGCAGAGCTAGCATTGTGATTTTTGTCCCGTTCTAAAGCTGACTTGAATCCAGCAAATGTGCTCTAAACTTTACCTGTGCAAAGCCAAGGCGGACTGGCGTCGAAAACAAACTACTCTGTAATTACTTGGAACATGGAAATGAACCTTGATGTTCCTGAAATGGGCTTTGTTATGTAGCTCAGTCAGGGTGTAATCAAGAAACGAGGCCAGTGTAAATTTCTATTTGTTTCAGCAAAGTTAATGAGGATACCATGTTAAATAGCCAATCTGTGGTTTGCGGTTCTGCTCCTGGCACCCCGCCCCCTGTGTAGCACGGGTTTATTTTTCCTGGTAATGTCTGATATCTTGCATCTCTCTGTCCCTGCTGCTGATTAAAGATGAAATTATATCTTTGATTTGATAGTATAGAAAGCACTTTACAAATTACCTTGGCTGTTGATCAACATTAAACCTCTTGATTAGCGGGATGGGAAGGGACCTTTTTTTTATTTTTGCTATTTTTGTTTGCTTTTTCCGAGCCAATCAGCTCAGGTCCGCTCCTATCAAGTGGAAATTAACCTCTCTCCAACACCTTTTCCGGGGTAACATGAACTCCACCAATCGTGCACATTCGCAGACGATAATATATTTTCATCAGCCTCATTAATTTTGAAGATGAATTTATAACCCCGGCCAAAATAGGCAATTATCGGCCACAGGAGAACTCACTGGGCGCCTAAATTGTTTTCTGTATGAACGGAGAGCCCGGAGACAGAGCTGTGCTTGCTGTCTGTCGTTGCTATTCACACAGCCTACAGCAGAGGATATAAAGATATTAAGCTAAAAGAAGGGAGTGGGCCTCAGAAATGGATGCATTCTGGTTTGGTAGTCTCATCCCCCCAACCCCGTCCAGCCACAGGATGGGATGCTAACGTTTTCCCTAGAGTGCTAACAGGATGTAGGGTCTGGTGGAGCAGCATTTGCACATTCACATGTCTGTTGCATCAAACTCTAAGAGACTCAGTCTGCTCTCATTCTGTGTGTGCGCAATATTCTGGATCTGAATGTTTCATCTGAATTGTTGTGTTTAGCTGTATATTGTATGTATGGAAGAAATAAAAACAGCATAGTGTTTTTTTTTTCCTAACCATTATGCTACCATGTGTCTTTAAATATTTATAGTAGGAGCAGAGATGATTTCACACTACTTGTGTGTCACAGAAGAAAACTGGATTTTACTAGTAATTCAAAACAAAACTGAATTGATTTAGTTTTAAACTGAGATAAATGCAGCATGCATTGCTGGCATTTCTGGAGCTTTTTCAGTGTGTACTTAGAATGTTGCCCATTACCTTTAGTTAGAGATTTCAAAATACATGTTGATATTTTCTTATTCAGCATATTTCATAACATACAGATGTTGAAAGCTCAAAACAACAAAACAAAAACAAAAAAAGCAGCTGTATTCTGTTCTGTCTTCTTGTTAGCAGTGAAATCTTTCTTGGCCAAAATAAACCACAGACATGGCATAACACCTTTAAGTTTCCCATTAAGTTCCTCACATCTCTTTCCTATTGTCGTCACCTCACTGATCCTGAAGATCGCTAACTTTGAGTCTAATTTCATTAGTTACAGCATCCACACTGAAGATTGTTGTTGATCTCGTAAGCTGTTAGTACACTGGGATGTGCTCACATCAGAACAAGCTGAAAGTCGACCAATGCTGGTCACCATCTGGTTACCCAGCGCAAATCTCTTAAAGTATTGGTAATTTGTATCACAGACATTGCTTTAAGAAAATTAATGTTTTCATAGTGAGAAGGAAAGTATCAAAACTTGCTGCACCTGGTGTTTTGTTGCTAATATGGTGACTTGTGTTTTTAAAGTAACATTGTTGTGGAGTACTCTGAGGATGACAATCCGAGTGAAAAGAAATATATAAAGATGTTTTCTCTACTTTACGTCCACCTGACTTAATTGGGTCTTGTTTGTTCAGATGTTGCCCAGAAAATGCCACAGTATTATTCGTTTGATGCAAAGAACTTTAAATCTGCGTCACTGTCTGACATATGCATCTTCCCCTCTCTCCAGGTGACTAAGATGGTGAAGACGGTGACCACCAGAACAGTTCGGCAGGTCCCCCTGGGCCCAGACGGCCTCCCTCTGCCTGAAGGCTCATCCCCTCTGAGCAGCTACACTGATTCCATCGACCGACGATACATGAAGAACGGAGGCGAACGCTTCATCACACCCCAAGCAACTTCTACCCTGACCCGCGCCTACAACAACTCCTACAACGACTCGTATGTGGAGACACCGGAGAGCCAGTACATCCGTCACTATGGCCTCCACGACGGCTACACAGATTTGACGGACAACTACGGTAGCCTGTCGCGTGGCGTCAACTTCCGGCCGCCGCGCTACCCCTACATGCCCAACAGCTACCGTCCAGAGAACAGCTACACTCTGCCAATTAGAAAGGACGACTACGGCCATGTGGCGCAGCCCCAGGTGCCCATGGGCAGCAGCACAGTGGATCTTAACCGCTCACAACCTGAGCGATTCCAGCCCGAACCTTACGGTTTGGAGGATGACCGTCGCAGCTTGGGGCCCGAAGAAGAGGAGCCGTACGAGCTGGAACCCGACTACTCCACTGCCAACCGCCGGACCCTGCCAGGGACGAACCGGGGCCGCACTCACAGGGAACCGCTCCGCGATGTGCACAGGGTCAGGTAAGAAGAAACTGTTAACCACTACACTGTGTACCAAAGTTTGTTTTTTGCAACAAAAAGCAAACTCTTGCTAAATGCTTGTCTCATTGCCTTGTTCTTGAATCAGAAAGATTGCTACAAAAAGCATGTTTCTTCTTCTTGAACAGTTTGCTAAGAAAAGAAGCTTGGTAAAAACAAATTACCTTGGATTGGACATTAAACACGCATTTGTGTCAGAGGTTAAGAGACAGGAATGACTTGAGGGACAAGACAGGAGGAGGATGGAAGGAGATAGGGGAGTGTGTCAGGATTTCAAGCAAACTTTCAGGACAGGAGTACAACTCCTCGCCTTATGGGACAGGAAAAGACCTGTCAGCCCCTAACAATAAACCCTAAAAACCAACTGTTGTCTGCTAATAGCTCTCAGTCAGTTTGTTGTCAACCGTAGGAGAGCTTGGGGGAAAACGTCCAGACTGAAGTAAATTGGACCATGGGATTGAAGCTGAGTCAGTGTGTTAAAGACGTTTTTTTGATCACTGATCTGTAGCAGATGGATATTTTCAAGCTCTCTGCACTTTTCCACTAATCTGAGAGTTAAATGTTTGGCGTCTCGCCAGTTCCAAGAGAAGAGGGCTGAAGAGCAAGAAAGAGAGCGAGGCTGGAGCGTACTTGTTTGTTTCAGTCGCCATGAAGGACGGAACGGTACGCAGGTTTCCGGCTTCTTTAATTGAGCGAATGCACTGGATTTAAAGGCTCTCACATTGATGCAAGAGAGCAGAAGCCTAATCAGAGCCTCTGTTATTACACACTTGTGACTGTCCTGTGTCAAATACCCACACACACACTCAATAAAATCCCATCTTCAGAAAACAAGTCACTCCTCCAAGAGACGTTTGCTGTGACAGGCAATTTGTAATGTGCCTTACATGTGTCACAACACATCTCTAACAGCCACATGGATAGGCACACAGTCGCTCATATGCATTCCCAAACACCAGCATGCATCTATCTCATTTAAACAACACAAAAAAAACATACATTTTCCAATCTTATCTTTGTATTTGCTTTATTTCCTTCCCTGAGTACAATTCCATTTTTTCCGGCCTAAGAGCAGCTACTATCAGTTCCCCCCACAGCACACAGCCTCTGAAGCTCTGAGGCTGTGATTAGTATTCTTCCAAGAAGGGACCAGCGTCTCCGAAGTGCTGTAATGAATCTTAGATTTAACGCGCTCTAATTACAGCTTATCATTTCATGCAAGCCTTCAATTATGCACAGACAAAAATGGTGATATTTAGTACCAAAGCGGCTTTCTGCGTCGGCGCCATGCGCTTGTTTTGTCGCCACAGCGGACTCCATTGTGCGTCGCCACGCCGATGGGAATGATGATTTGTTGCTGGGGTTTGCTTGGCTTTTAGACTTTAGGGTTAATTCTAACTTTGCTCTGTGGCGCATTCGGACCAGCGGCGCCCTCTAAACGCTGCCACAAGTAGATTCATGTGTTGGTTGCCGTCCTAATGAGGTAATGGCTACACCAGTCTGTTATTGTGACAACCCATTTAAAACGGAGCATGTCCCACTTTTGCCAGTGGTCTAGGAGTGTAGATTGGACTTTCTCATGTTGCTTCAGCCATTCTCAAGCTGGTTTGGGATTGTTCTGCAGAAATCAGAGTGTTGGTTGAAAGTGTCAAAGCAACATTGATAATTTTGCTGAAATACTTTGCATTGCAATGGGGAAAAAAGCTCCGTACTCAGTAAGCTGTCAGTGATGTTCTGGCTTGATCTGTGTGCCATTCAGCATGCCTGTAATGGAGCATTTATGATCCTCGCCTCATTTACTTTTATATTTAACATCTGCTGGTAATAGTAAAGCGGAATGTTTTTATGACCTTAACTCTTCTCTAAGGTAGAGACATGGTGGCATTAAGCGACATCTCTGTCAAACTAAAAATCGTGTATTTATCAAGCCCTTCTTTAGTCAGTATCTTGTAGAGACACTTTTTTTTCTGCTCTGTCTTTTTTGGTTCATTCTTCTATTGAAAGTTGAATCTCCCCCTGAATCTCAACACTTTTGCAGGTTTTCCTCCAGAACTACCTTTTATTTAGCTCCATCTATCGTTCTGTCAGCTCAGACGAGCTGAAGAAAAGCGACCCCACAGCATGATGTCATTTGGAAGATGCTTTGTTCCGGGTCATGTACAGCTTTAATTCTCAACACATGTAGTGTATCAACGAGGACAGCTTTGGGTTTGAAAAGTATGCCTTCTGTAACATCAGTACACAGCAACTTTATTTATACTGAGCCGTTGGAGGGCAGCGCCTCCAGTGGCTGCAGCCTGAGGCACCTGTCTGCCCATGACTTATGTTTGTTCTTTTGGACGGACTTTACTGAAATGTCAATTTACCCCCTGGTGGACCAATAAAGGTATTCTTATTAAATTACTCACAAGTGGACTCTACTTACCAATTAGATGACCTCTGAAGCAATGATATAAATAAATTTATTACCTCTTATTTGCTTTCATGGCATTAGTTATTTTTGGATATGAGAATAAAAAGGAGTAAATGAGGGGTGCACCGATCTTTGAAAAGTCTGACCTGCTGATTCCAGTTTTGACCGATACTGATGATTTTCAGACCTTTGGTGAGGTAAACTAGATTGGTGGACAAGATTGGATATACATGCTCTACTTTGTGTTGGTCGATAACCATAATAAACACAATAAATGCATGAAGATGGTGGTGAAAATCTGACAAAATAAAATTTTTGTTTGACTGTTTTATCGTATTCAGCCTGTAATAATAATGACATAAGCACTAAGTGGCGGGAGAGCATCTCTATATCCCTTTATGTCTGGACAAGCGGAGCATCCTCTACATTCCAACTCTGACACAGCCTTTATGACACAGAGTTTGTGTGTATGAGGACCTCTCTCTGAGTGTGGGTGTCTTCATGCCAGTGTGATTAATAGCCGCTTTGGTGCTGTGACAAACCACAGGGGCGTCTTAAAGCCGATTTCTAATGGCTCATCTCTCCTTGGGCAATCCACTCAGCTCCAACCTCCCCACCTGTATCCAGAAGTCACACAGACACACACACACACACACACACACACACACACACACTTGGATATGAACACATGCACCCATGACCATAGCTGCTCACCACTTAATTGAGAAGGGTGGGGGTGTTTTAATCTAATCCACTGATGTTTATATACCGAGTGGCCCATAAAAGAGATGTGACCCTGGCCAATTGATCCACCTCCTCTCTGCTCACATCCAGTGTCTTGAAAAAATATTTGTACTCCTAAGTCTCTTTCACATTTTGTGATGTTACAGCCACTTTATTGCATTTTATTGAGGTTCTGTGGGACAGGCCAACTCAAAGTAGTATATAACTGTGAGGAGAAAGGGAAGTTGGAAAAACGTGGCATGAATGTGCATTTGGACCCTGTTTTTCTTCCAAGCCTCCTGAAACCAAAAGTTTACATACATTGAATAAAAACACACATTCTTCTTCACTGTCTGAAGTTTAATCAGTCGGAATCACCAAAATTATTTTCTTCTGCTGATTCCCACTATAATGACAAAAATATGTCGGAGATTTATTTATTAATGTCTTCAAAACATTAATGAACTTGGCAGCATTGCCTAAAAATCTCTGTCTTGAGTCAAATGTTTTGGGTTTCCTTCCACAAGCTTCTCACAGTAGTTTGTTAGCATTCTTGTCCATTCCTCCCCACAGAAAGGAGGAAGATTTGCCCACATATTCTCAATAGGACTGATATCGGGGCTTTATGATGACCACACCAAAACATCGACTATGTTGTCCTTAAGCCACTTTGTAACTACTTTGGCTGCAAGTCCGTTTAGAAGACCTAAGCTTTAACTTCTTGGATGATGTTTTTAGATGTTTCTTCAATATGTCAACATCTTTGCCAGCCCTTGTGCTTCACAGTTGGTGTTCGAAGGGTTACCAGCATCCCACTTTTTCCTCCAAATGTTACGATGGTCAATATGGCCAAACAATTCCACTTTAGTTTTGTCAGACAACAGGACACGTCTCTAAAAATGAAAGTCTTTGTCCCTGTCTGCATTTTCAAACCACAATCTGGCTTTTTTTTTTTTTTTTTTTTTTTAAAAAATGGTTTCCCCCCCACTAAGTGGTCTTTCAGCCCATATTGGCACAGGACACGCTTTATGGTGGCTAGTGACAGTGTCTTACCAACCTCAGGCAGCATCTTCACAAGGTCTTTGGCTTTTGTTCACGGGTCCATCTGCACAGTTTGAACCAAAGTTCACTCAACTCTTGGTCAGAGTTGGACATTCCCATCCTGTCTACACTGGCACCCCAGCTTTCAAACCCGGGTTTAACCTCCCTCCTGAGTCCCAGACCCTTTTTCAAGGTGTTCTTTATATTACCAGTTCAAATCCCATTCTATATGTTTGAGGTTTCTCACAAGCCTTTCCTCTAAATTATAAATGAAACACTGAGACTTCACTTTGATGTTGAGAAAAATCTCATCTAAAAACCAAGATGGTTTTTTTTCTTCTTCTTCCTCATGTTTTCTCTTGCAAACTCATCCCCACAATATCATTCACAGCTCAGAATGACCAATTTATTCCCCAAGGAGTATCGGTGAAAAGCTCATAAATGTAGTAGAGAGGGGTGTGAGTGAGTGTGTGTGTATGTTTGTGTGTGTGTGTGTGTGTGTGTGTGTATATACACATGAGGTGCACACATCTTCAGAGTGTGTAATTCTTTTCAGTTTACCTCCTTTGATGGATCTGCAGAAGAGCAGGGTCACGTACGGCTCGAGCCGGGAGACGATGAAAGTCGCCGAGAAAACATGAAGAACCATGAAAGAGAGAACAGCGAGGATGTGCAACTGTCTCTTTCTTCCAGACTCAAAATGAATGCGGCCACGCAGGCCCCCTAAATAATAGTTTGGATGCTCCCAAACAGGACGGATGTTAAGCAGCTCGATTAACACGAGGAGGTTGATCTGCCATAATCAGGCAGAGTGTGTTGGCTGCAGAGGGGCCCTTTCACATCCCCTGAATACAGCCATCCGGGTTCGCACAATGCCGCCAATATAAATGCAAATCCTGACATTCCCGTCACTCAGCCTGCTTTACCAAAAGCCCCGCCGCATCGGCCCCGGATCTAAATGAGCCGCGATCCGCACAACTGTACATATTATCTGTGTGCCGATGTGTCTGCGTGACAAAGCCCGTATAAAAAAGAAAAAAAAAAAAACCACAGTGTGGGGCATAATGAGAGAGAAAGCCGGAGAGAAATAGAGATACAAAAGTGACAGCAGTGGCGGTTTATGTATGCAGGTCTGCTTCACGGCGATGACTCTGAGATTGTGAACTGTGCTCTTCCTGTGGCGGGTTATCCCTGCCTCTCTTTGCCTTGTCAGGCCCAATATTCTCCTGCACAAAAAAAAAAAAATCTGGGTGATGGTTTGGGTGACGAGTGCGTGTGTACGTCTTAGTGTACGCATGGGTGCATTTAGTAACCACCAGCGCCTGTACGCACACATGCAATTTTCTGGTGTTTTTTGCATGCAGTCTATCATGTCACTCAGTGTTTTTGCCAAACCTCAGAGCGCCGTTCTCTCTCCAAATTATGTTCTGTAATCAGAATCTTGATTTGCCCCTCCTTCTACGCTGCGGGCGCAAGCTTGTTCAACAAGAACAAAACAAAAGAAAAAAAAAAACCTTCCCAAAGTTAGCATTCGGAATGCCAGCTCTACTTAAATTAAAGCTATCTTTGTTTTCTTCAGAGTTTGTAGTTATTCATAGAAGTGGAAGTGGATGAAGCATTTGCACAAACGTTGTTTTCCACAACCCCCAAAGCTATTCTGTCTCTGTAACTTTTGGATCCAACTCCAGTGCCTTGCAAAATGTTTGATATTTCTGGAACTCATTCACATCTCGACATGTTCACAACCCTACCAACCAAAATATGTTTAAGATATTTTACAAACTAGACTAAGACAATGCAGCTTTCACATTAAAAAACCCCCAAAAACTGCAGAATAAAGTGAAAACATGGCATGAATTTACCTTCAGGCTCTTTTACTCCTAATACTCCTAAACATAATCTAGCTTCAACAATGGCCTTTAAAGGTTACTTAATTAAAAGAGTCCCTCTGTGTTTCTCAGCGTAGGTACAGATGATCTGTGACGATCCCAGAGGTTTTTCAGAGAAAATTAGCGAACAGATAATCATGAAGACAAAGAAACACAGGAGACCAAGTAGTGGGAAAAATTAAAGCAGAGATATGTTAGAAAATAATATCCCAAGCATTAAGCATCTCACGGAGCTCTGGGAATCTGAAAAAGGACAAGTATGGCACAACAACCAATCTACTGAAACTGGCAATCCAGGCGAGGTGGACATGAAGCCGAGATGTAACCAAATCGTCCACGGTGACTCATGAGGAGCCACAGAGACCCGCAGCTTTTGTGCGAGCATCTATTGATGCAATAAATTAATTAATTGCATGATAAATTAAAAGGAGCACAATGATTTCCACTTACATCATTTATTGTTTTTCTCTTTTCTTTCTCTCTTTCTACCAAAAACTGGATGACGAAAGTCTTCACTCTGATGCTTTTGTCTCAGCCAGCTATTTTTTTGAAGGACAGTTTTGTTTACAGAGACTTTATAGTTCATTTTATTTATTGTTTCTGTTGTTTTTATCTGTTTTGGAAATTTAACATGTCCAGTATTAAGTGATGTTTAGAATTTAAAGTTATTGATCTTTGAGAACATTTTCTTGCATTATTGCATAGGTCTATGTTCTAGTGGGACATGCCTTTAAAATGCAGTCGGAGCTACAATAAAACAGTTTAGATCAAACATATCAAAGTATATTGATATGCTATAATGGCCTAGTCAAAGTCCAGAGCTAAATCTAGGCAAGAGTCTGCCACAGGAGTTAAAAACTGATCTTTACATGTTCTCGTCCATTAGTTTGGTTGAGCTTTGGCTAATTTGTCTTGAAGAATGATCAGAAATACAAGGTTTTATTTTTTAAAGGTTTTATCGGCTCTCGTGGCCTTTATTTGATGGTTAATTGACAGGAAAGTTGGTAATGAGAGATGTGGAAAGACGTGCAGCAAAGGTCGTCAGACCGGGAATCGAACCTGCGACGGCTGCATAGAGGACTACGGCCTCCATCCATGGGTTATGCTTAACCCCTGTGCTGCCACAGCACACCCAGAAATTTAAGTTTATAGAAGCTGGTCGACACGGTAAAACTGGAACAAAAGGTGGTTTGGAGTTGTAGCTGTAAAATGTTTTCAAAAATGTCAACATGTGACCAACGCTGGACTTGAAACGTTGATGCCACAATGTTTTTGCAAGGCACTGCATCTCTCTTTATCATCCAGCAGAAAAGGGATTTAGGATTTTTGACACATTGTTCAGGAAGGAGTTCATCTCTTATTGATTTCCGTGGCAGAGAGATGCACAAACTACAGTAAATGCCACAAAATCCAATATGTTACTGCGTGGCTTTTTGAAAGGGGGATACACGAGAGTCGAGGTAAGACGGCATGTTGATCCCCTTCCAGTTTTTGCTGAATGCCACAGAGAAAGCTGTAAAACGACATAATTAGCATACAGCTCATTAAACGTGGAGCGCCATGTGAAAATGCTCGTCGGCAACCGACTTTGGACACCACCAACCACCATGAAAGATGGTGAGAGGAGACCATCTGGATTATGTAATGAGGGTAAACAAGTCTCATTCTGGGGGATGGGTGGTGGGGAGGGATGCTAAATGCTGCGTGTAGCTACACAACACTTCAATTTTGCTCCTAATGACAGAGCACTGTGTGTGTGGTTTTTTTTTTTCTTCTGCCTTTTTGAGAAAAAAAACCAACAAAAAAACATTTAAAACGTTCCCTGACTTTGTATGTGGTGTCAGAATTGGGAAGCCTTCTCAAGGGTTCTAAAAAAAAAAAGCCGACAAACACTCCTGTCGCTGGCTTCAAACAAATACAGTCACCCATGTTCCTATGAAGAATGTATGACAGTGTCTTTGGAGTGGAGGACCGTAGAGAACAGACTCTAAGGGACTTTGGAAATGTCGGCTCAGTGAAGGACCCCCTCCCACACCCTCCCCTCGGTGGACCACTTTGCTCCTTAATTCTGTCACCAGAAAAGCAGTTAGAGCTCAGTACTGTTTAAGTCCCCAACACTAATAGGAGAACTGCTAATGAGGGTAATGCTAGTAGAGAACTCCCAGAGTGTTGGTCATTAACATTTCAGTGACTGCATGCTAGTGTTTTGAGCTGTGAGCAAAGGGAGCCCTGCAGGCACTGTAGGGGCTCCTAGTCCTCCCTGGGGGAACTGCTTGGCTCTTTTTTCTGCCCCCTGGGGGAAGAGATATCAAATCCTTTTTTCTGGGTTCCTTTAAAAAAAATAAAAAAAGACTTCACAGGTCTTTCCCTCAAAGCTTTTACTTTTTTTTTTGTTGTTGCTCTGTCTCTATTGGTTTGCAATCGTTTCCTGTCTCCTAGTCGCTTTCTCTTCAACCCGATGTTTGTTGAAGTCTGACATGTTTGTTACGCCTGCTGACAGGGAGTAGGGAGCAGAATGCTGCAAATCATTTTGCTTATTGCAAAGGGTTGCCATCAGAGCCCCGCTGACAAACCTGATGAGAACAGATCCAAACATCGGATCACCTTGTCCTCTCCTCTACCTTTTCCCCTCATTAGTCAGTGAGTCTCACCTCCGTTGGCTTTTCTTCTAGCCTGTTCCCTGGCTGTCTGATTCTTCTCAGACAAATCAAGTCGCCCTCCATTTACCTCTTCCATCTAACATGTCTTGACTGTCCTCTCTTCTGTTATCTTGCAGAGGGTACCCAGATGACCCCATTGAGGCAGAGCTGATTGATGAGCGCCACCCTTACATCCACGGTATGTATTCAGCACCACTTGCTCAGCCCGAGAGAGGCAGCATGGCCAGTCTGGACCGAATGGCCGGCCGGCGTTCACCTTCCATCGACAGCATTCGCAAGGACCCCCGCTGGCGGGACCCCGATCTCCCCGAGGTCATCGCCATGCTGGGTCACCCCATCGATCCGGTGAAGTCCAACGCCGCCGCCTATCTGCAGCACCTCTGCTACGAGAATGACAAAATTAAGAAGGATGTCCGCCAGCTGAAGGGGATTCCTGTTCTGGTCAGCCTTTTGGATCACCCCAAATCCGAAGTGCACCGCAAAGCCTGCGGCGCACTTCGGAACATCTCCTACGGCAAGGACAATGAAAACAAGGTGGCCATCAAGAACTGTGATGGCATTCCGGCCCTCATCCGTCTGCTGAGGAAGACCAACGACATGGAGGTCCGAGAACTCATCACCGGTAAGAGGAATATTTCCCAATAAAATGAAACTTTTCGAGCTTTACACCGTGCTATAATGTTATTTTTTCATCAAGACATCCCTGGAACTCGATTCATTCATGCATGTTTGAGAAATCCTTTAATCTCCATGGCAACCATTCAGTTGTGCAAAACGCCTGGGCGGCCCTGGCGCCTGCAACTCCATCTCTCAGTTCCTTCAGACTAGCCAGCAGAAATTAGCAAACACCTGGTGCAGGTGCACATTTGTGTCATCACTGTACAAGCTGCTTCTCAGTGCAACACCTGTAATAATATTGTTCAAGGGTTAATAGAGGAACGATGCTGCAAGCACTAGTTTTTAAAGAGACAGAGGCCCAATTTCAAGGCGTTAAATTATGATGTACAATTGCTTTCAAGTCATAACAAGCATTTTCATAACTTAAGGTAACAGTTATGTGATTGTGCTATAAAAAGGCACCATGTGCCTGGAAAATACATACTGCCTCTTTAAATAATTAACATCTGCTTACAGCTGCAAAGAGAGTAAATTCTTCAGTCTTGTTTTTGGGTTTTAAACGACTTATATTCAGAGGGGGAAGAAATTGCTACCGTCATATTTTATCCATCAAAAATCTGTGACTGTCACAAATTTCCTCCAACTTCTTTGTGATTATAATTCAATTTGACAGCATAAACGCTGTAGCATGATCATCAGTTTACGGAGAAGAACAGGGGTTTTATTCCCCACCGGATCCGTCTCCGCTCTTCTCTCCTCTCAGAGGCGTTCAGAACTGTGTGTCTGGCAAATCTCTCTCCAGTTTGCTACAGCTGCACATTACCATGCCATCGAAGCTCACATAGTCGTTACAAAGTGAAATTGCTGCAACAGAATCAATAGGCTAAAAATCATAACTTTTAATTGCACGTTAAAGACTCTCTCTTTCGCTCTTGGTTTCTTGGCGAGAACTCGGTTGACTCTGCTCCAACGGCAGGAGTTACTGCTGGGCCCTTTTGTCAGAGTCCAAAGTGAAAACAAAAAGGGTCCAGGTTTAATAGTTGAAAAAGGTCTTAATAAATTTGGAAAAGAGAAACCCCACGATTAATCGGTGTGTAGTCGACTGGCACTGACATTACATATTTTCCTTCTTGTCTACTCTTTGAAGCCTTATGTCTACACAGTAGTTCTTTAGTTTGGCAGTCCTGTCTATTTCTCTCCAGTAGGCTGCCATATCTTTTATATTCTGTGCCGCACTGTGCTCCTAGTTATTGATACAAACTTGTTACGTTACAGAAGTGTTTCTCAATTCCGGTCCTCAGGCCCCCCTGTCCTGCATGTTTTAGGTGTTTCCCTTCTGCTACACACCTGGATTGAATCTGTGGGTGATTAACAGGCTTCTGCAGTACTTGATGGTCATGCAATCATCTGAATCGGCTGTTCTGGAATAGAGCCACATCTAAAACATGCAGAGCAGGGGGCCCTGAGGACTGGAATTGAGAAGCACTGCTACAGCAATACAGCAATGTTAACATCTATATATCTGCTTAGACCTTTTACTTTCTGTGATTGGTTTGTGTTGCAGGCGAGATTGATATTTTTTTTTCCTTCTCTCTTTCACAATAAGCTACATGAATCAAAGTTTGTTGCTAGGAAGAAATAAGTGTGACTATATAGCTGCAAATGACTCTTTCTTCTAATCGTGGAGCCGATACGTTTCTGTAAATGACCTGAGCTCCGAGTTTTGGAAGCAGATTTGATCACAGAAACTCCACGGCGCTCCAACCGAGCCGGTGTGTGGAAACAAATAAGGTGATATTTAATTACTTAAGCCACAGCGTTCTGTACTGTAAGCAGAAAGACGGACTGGAAGCTAGAAGATCTCCCGTCAGGAAAAACAAAGAGCACACAATTATTGGTCCCCATAGAAAAGTCTGTAATCTGCATTGGATAACCGAAGACGTTTTAATTCTTCTTGGAGAAGCTATTGAATCAGAAGTGATGCTCCGGTGGAAATCAGCTGGGAAATACGTGTGTTTGCGTGCGTGCGTGTGTGTGTGCGCGCGTGTGTGTGTGTGGGTTCAGTTTATTCCCGCTGATTTAACCTGACACACTCACACACTATGGCATCTGAGAAGAGATGAGAAGAGATTTTTCTTTTCTTTTTTTTTTTTTTCCCGGTGCACTCGTGTGAAAAATGAGACACTTTAAAGTGAGATACCCAGACCTTGTGAAGTAGGTGCCAAGTGAAAACACTGAGTGCATGCTGAAATTTAAGGAGGAGGGGAATGGATTTGCTTTTTATGCTCTTTAGGGGGAGGAACGTCGTCGTCACGTTAACTTTCCAGCACTGACAACAGCTCAGACTCAGAATTATAATACGAATATCTGTGCGACTGTCACCCCAAACTACAAACATGCAGGCTATTATTTACGCTGACGCCAGTCTTTATAATCCCAGCGCTTTACGAACCGTTGTGGGCATGCATGCCTGAGTGTTTGCATAAGTGAGTCTCCTTTGTTTTGACAGAGATGTAGCAGTGAGCGATGGCGGTGCTGCTGCAGAAATGATTGCCTTTACAGCACCGTGTTGCTCCCTATTGAAGCTAAAAATAACCCTTCACCACAAGACAAGGAGGACGGAAGGGAAGGAGGCTTTTCTCCCCCTCTCTTACTCATTATTCAGCCCTCCCACGCTCAGTCTCTGGTTTTTTTTTTTTTTTTTTAATTTTTCCTTCCCCTCTCCTTCATTCATTATCTACAGACGGTGATTTTCGTTCTCTTGCTGGTTTACTCTTTATCGTGCTTTAGGTGGCCATTGCTCCGCAGGAAACCAGCTCCTCACAATGCAGGCTCAGCTTGCGTCCCCAGCCACTTGTCTGGAATTGGCCGTGCTTTTCTGCAATTAAATATAATTCAAGGTTGTTTTTTTTTTTTTTTTTTTTTTTTTAAATACGGTTCTCCTTTTCTTAGTTCATATGTTTAAGGGTTTTGCTGTGGAAGTATGCACAGCCCTGTGCAAAAACCGCTCTGTTTTCTCCTAGTGGAAATGGGTGACGTGGAAGGAACCTAGTGGTTTCATTTTCCAACACACACATCCACGCACACACACACACACAGACACACACGAGACATGCAGACAAGTCATTTATATTTCTAGAACGTTTTACTTTTCAGAGTAATTCTGTTTTCCTGTTTCAGCAGCCTCTGGGCTGCTTGTGGCCTCAAGCAGATTCCTTTGTGAAAAGTGAGATCATGAGGCAGATTGATGCTGCATTTCCTACAGATTTTATTGCTCATATGAGACTACAAACAAGGAAATTTGACATGAGAAATCAATAACTGAAGATGGATGACGTCTGAATTGGACCTGATTGCTGTCTTCAGGTTATTTAACATCAACTTATCTTAAATTAAATGAATGAAAATAATAAAACGAATTGATTGGAATTTAATTTTCAGCTATTCTTTTAATGAAAATAGAAAAAGACAATTGCAATCAAGTAACAATTCAGCTTCCCCTTGTTCATCACCTTGTTGCCAACTTGATACGCCTTTATTAGAATTGTGATGAACACTAAAACTCTTTCACAGTAATACGTTTGTCAAATTGTTGCAGGAGAGCTAATTAAGACGTTCTTTAGTGAAGCCGCATCCAATTCCTGTGGTTTTGATTATTTGATTGTGATTTCCTGGATTACTTTTTTTTTTGTCATAAATATATAACACTGAATGTGTGTTTATTCTTAATTACACAGTTTTTTGTGTGAAACTTCCAAATCAACTCTAGAGCAATACCTAAAACCTTGTGAGCATGGTGGCAGACTCGTTATCTGTAGTGAAAATAATCCTGAACCAACATGAGCTGAAATGCCACTCAGAAAGAAGGAAGGTTCGACCTAAAAAGCCAGATTACAGTTTGAAAATTCACTCAATTATAGATACATTTTAGAGCTTTTATTTATTTATTTATTTTTTATTTTATTGGAGACTGATGCAATTAAAACTGGAATGCTGGCTATTGTTCCATTTATTGGAAGAAAGTGGAAGTACCACCTCAACCATGAAGTACAGGAGTGGCAGCATCACTCCTACTTAATTAATTAATCTCTTTATACACATTTATGCACGAGTTTGTATGAGAGTATGCATATAGTCAATAGCGTGAGTCCGCATGTTTAGGTCTCCATCTTTGTTCGGTTTTTATGCACTTTGCATCCCCTTTGCTAAACTGCGTCCCCCAACCCTCATTGCCACTGTGACGTTGATGGATGGCAGGAGGGGTGAAGAGCAGAAGGAGAGGAGGAGAACCGTAATGGGCAGAACTAAGTTAATAGCTCTGGTTGAAGAGCAACATGTCTGCCAGTGGTGCCTGGAAAATTTAATTAGCCCCCGCTACAGCTCCAGTCCCCTTCCCAGTCCCACTCGCCGTCTTTCCAGCCTGTCCAATCAGAGACAAAAAGCCAAGGCGGGACGTAAAAAGGAAAAAACAAGGCAAGAACTGAGGACTGGAAGACAAACGGACTTCCTTTGATGAATTTTGGCCTTTTAATTGGAAATCACAACACCACCGTTTTCATGCTTCCAATAAGACTTTGTTGTTTTTCAATTAGTTTTGAAAGGAAACCGGTGCGACCCGGTTTGGCTGTTTACCCCTGAGAAGTTTCCTCAGCAGATAAACAGCATTAATAAATCAGAAAGGAACAGCACTTCCAGACCTTGAAAGTGGTCTGACTGGGTTATCAAAGTTGCTTGTGAAGTCTTTTAAACTGTAGATCCTGACTCTATTTTACAAAGAAAAAAAAATGCTTATATAAGACCAGCATTGAGAGGTCAATTACTTTTTTGTTAGTTTCTTTTTTGTCGCTTTTTCCAAACCCCAGTTGGTGTCATGATTTATGCAAGTGCAACACCAGTTTGAACACTTTTATCTATCATTCAGCAGCTCTGAATTTTTCACAAGCGATGCCATCCCCGGCACTCTCTACAGTTTTCATCCTGCAATGCGTTTAAGGTGAGCTATTA